TACTTCTCTGTAGTGACCAGCAGGGGGCGACTCCTCTGCTCCCATAGACGTCTATGAGATAATGACTCTACTTCTCTGTAGTGACCAGCAGGGGGCGACTCCTCTGCTCCCATAGACGTCTATGAGGAAATGACTCTACTTCTCTGGATTTATTCCCTCAGTAAACGTTGTAAACACGAGTTTATGGTCTCAGTCTCTAGTTTCACGTCTTCTTCAACACAACATGATGTTCATTTAGTGAATTATGGTCCAGTGAGTGATGCTTTAGGGCGGGGCTACACGTGATTGACAAGTCTCTACCGGAGACGTATACGACGTCTCTGCGTCCGCCTCAGTCCCCATATGGTCACTTCCTGTTCACTGGTTGATTAAACATTAACTTGGTGACGGCAAAAAAGACTCAAGACCAACGTCATAAACAGTGAGTGGGATTAAATGTTTGGTGGGTAATAAACACAGTGTGTGCAGAGTGGATTGAAGGTGTCACTCACAGACTCACTGACTGCAGGATGAGTTCACGGTTTACTGTGCACACAAAACAACCTACACTTCAGTCTGTGTGTGTGTGTGTGTGTGTGTGTGTGTGTGTGTGTGTGCGCAGGAAGCCAGTCGGCTGAAAACACGCAACTCGTCTCACTCGGCTCGTCTTTAGAGCAGCACTTAAAGGCGCGTTTCATTCCAGTCCAACGCTGGTGTTAGACTCGTCCTGACCCACCGGGTTGGATTTTGGTGGAACCAGAATCTCCTTCAGCTCAGACTCCAGTGTGTGTGTCTGAGCTGAAGGTGCACTGTGTGCACGTAGTGTGTTTGTTGTGTGTTGAGTTGCACGGTTGCCTCCCACTCGCTGCAGGTGAGGATTTCTCCCTTCGACCCGGTGAGGTCACTCGAGCACCTCGGTACCGGCCGGTACGACACCCGTCAGCGCCTCCTCGCCCACGAGCCTCGACCTCATCAGGTGACTGTGAGCTGTGCGAGTGCACGTGGAGGAAGAAGTGCACGTGAGATATGTGAGGAACGTCCCGTGCTAAAGTCAGCGCCCACGTTAGCGTTATGTCACCGGCTTCTGCTGTTCAACTCGTTTTATGTTCTCCATGTTTCGAAAGGTTTTTCTACTAATTTGCATAATTAGCCAATTGGCTAATGAGCTGATTGGCTAAGCAGCTAATTGAAGAAAGAAGTTAAACTGCTGAACCTTCCCAAGTAAAAGGAGGACAAAGGAAAAGCTGTCGAGAAGCTACACGTTTTAACAGCAACACAACTACAAACAAAGCACCAGAGAAGAAGGTGGTGAAAAGACACGTTATGTACCACTGTACAAATGTGTCAGCAGGAGGCCGGTCGATAGTCTATCTGCTGCGAGAGCCTCTCCACGCACCTCAACAGAGCGAAAGACGGGAAAAGTTTTCAAATCAAAAGTTGCTCTCATTTTCTTTATCTCTTTTTTTTCTTGTTGGAATTGCTCTTCACATCTGGCACATCTGCATCAAAGAGACATAAACAATCAGACGAGCAGATGACTCCTCTTCCCTCCCGTCCAATCAGTGAGCGCCGCCGCCGTCTCTCCACACACATGCACACGCACAAACTCACACAAACTCACACGAACACACACACAAACACACACACAAACACACACAAACACACACACAAACACACACACAAACACACACACAAACACACATAAACACACACACAAACACACACTACTCCCACCAGCTTGCTGCTGTGATCAGACGGCCAGAAAGAGAAAGAGTGTGTGGGAGTAGTGTGCGTGTGCATGTGTGCGTGAGAGACAGCGAACTGCAGTTGCTAAAAACAGCTTCACATCCAGAGAACCGGGGAGGGGGGTGATGAAGAGCAGCAGGTGATGAAGAGCAGCAGGTGACGAAGAGCAGCAGGTGATAAAGAGCAGCAGGTGACGAAGAGCAGCAGATGACGAAGAGCAGCAGGTGACGAAGAGCAGCAGGTGACGAAGAGCAGCAGGTGATGAAGAGCAGCAGGTGACAAAAAGCAGCAGGTGACGAAGAGCAGCAGGTGACGAAGAGCAGCAGGTGACGAAGAGCAGCAGGTGATGAAGAGCAGCAGGTGACAAAAAGCAGCAGGTGATGAAGAGCAGCAGGTGACAAAGAGCAGCAGGTGATGAAGAGCAGCAGGTGACAAAGAGCAGTGGGTGATGAAGAGCAGCAGGTGACAAAGAGCAGCGGGTGATGAAGAGCAGCAGGTGACAAAGAGCAGCGGGTGATGAAGAGCAGCAGGTGACAAAGAGCAGCGGGTGATGAAGAGCAGCAGGTGACAAAGAGCAGCGGGTGATGAAGAGCAGCAGGTGACAAAGAGCAGCGGGTGATGAAGAGCAGCAGGTGACGAAGAGCAGCGGGTGATGAAGAGCAGCTGGTGACAAAGAGCAGCGGGTGATGAAGAGCAGCAGGTGACGAAGAGCAGCAGGTGATGAAGAGCAGCCTGGTGATGAAGAGCAGCTTGTGACAAAGAGCAGCGGGTGATGAGGAGCAGCTGGTGACAAAGAGCAGCAGTTGATGAAGTGCAGCAGGTGACAAAGAGCAGCAGGTGACGAAGAGCAGCAGGTGACGAAGAGCAGCGGGTGATGAAGAGCAGCAGGTGACGAAGAGCAGCAGGTGACGAAGAGCAGCAGATGACGAAGAGCAGCAGGTGACGAAGAGCAGCAGGTGACAAAGAGCAGCGGGTGACGAAGAGCAGCAGGTGATAAAGAGCAGCGGGTGACAAAGAGCAGCGGGTGATGAAGAGCAGCAGGTGACAAAGAGCAGCGGGTGATGAAGAGCAGCAGGTGACGAAGAGCAGCAGGTGACGAAGAGCAGCAGGTGATAAAGAGCAGCGGGTGACGAAGAGCAGCAGATGACGAAGAGCAGCAGGTGACGAAAAGCAGCAGGTGATGAAGAGCAGCGGGTGATGAAGAGCAGCAGGTGACGAAGAGCAGCAGGTGACGAAGAGCAATTCTTCATTTTCTGGCTGGTTTCAAAATAAAGTTTGGCTTTCAGAGTAAAAGGTCGAGGCCAACGGACTGCGATGCAACATGCACAGGCGGGTCGATGACCTTTGGTGTTTAGGGGCAGATCTTTGGCACCAGTAAGGACTCTTCTGGGCCACGTGTGGACCACGATGAATATTGTGACATTATAAAGAAGAGGAATTCTCCTTCAGGAGAATAATATACAACGAGTGTGTGACATCTGACTCCTCCCCTTCCTCCTTCTGGCTCCCTCCTCTGTGTCATATGAAGCTCCATGTTTATATTTGCCGCGATGTTGTTACGTTAAATAAGCTCCTTCTTCCTCTTCCTGGCCTCATGTGACATCACGTCAACATTGTTGTGTCCTTCTTCTCAGTTTGAAGCTTTGCCAACGTTGTTTTCTTGTTATTTTGATGACAATAAAGCCACACCGAAGCAAATGGTGTAATTAGAGCGACACGCCGCCGCCCGTCACTGCACACGGAGTAAAACAAACTTTCACAACCACAGCAGAATACGACAACTCATTTTCCCGAGGAAACTGCTGTCAAACCGAGGAGACGACATCGTGATGAGAAGCCTGCAGACGGATCCTCTTCCCCCGGGACACCACACACACACACACACACACACACACACACACACACACACACACACACACACACACACACACACGCACACGCACACGCACACAGGGGATTGTCATCAGTGACGACTGACGCAACTGAACAGCAACCCATGTGCCTCGGAGCCAACAGAAAGCCAACACTGCCGGCTGTACTGAAACACACACACACACACACACACACAACCCAGTTACGTCCTCTGAGGTGATAAAATAACATCCAGATGTGAATACATATCCTGTTGACTTGTTTGGGGAAGTGTCTTAGTTTCATAGAACAGATCATTTCTCCGTAGCTGTAAAGTCAGAAAGCAGCATCTACTTTTCTGACTTCGCCTCGATTGAAGGCGCCGCCCTCATTCACGTCCACGGACTGAACAGAAGTGGATGTAGTCATGGCGACGCTTGGCGGACTGATGTTACAGAATCTGCGGTTCAGCGGTTTCAGTGGCGCCGTCCTGGATCCAGAGCGTCTCCGTGTTTTTGTTAAAGCGGTGAACAGGAAGAGACCAAATATCCTCGGAAGAGACCTGTCAATCAGCGTGTAGCCCCGCCCCCTCGCTGCTTTATGGTCAGGTTGACTCTAAATGGACCATCATCTACTAGATGATCATCATGCTGTATTATAATCCTCAGAACCAGGAGGAAACCTTCATCCTCAGCTGTGAGGGAGACGTGGAAGAAGATGTCAGCGCTCCTACCTGAATCAGCGACATGTTAACGAGGTCCAGTCTGAACAGGAAGTTTCTGGAATGAGAAGAGAGGAGAACTTGTTAACAATGTGGCGAGACTCTGAAAGAGCTTTTGTTTAATCATGAGAGAAGAGACGAGACGTTTGAGGGCCTGTGGACTCAGCGAGGCCGATTAGAGGCCGCCGCTCGCACTCCTTCTGTGTGCAAGTACACGAACTGTTCGTTCGTCCCGAGTCTAACGTGTAAAAACGGAGGAGGAGCGCCGCTACCCGTCGAGAGCTGGGCGGGGACCGAGCCCCCGGCGATGTGCTCCGCGGGGTGAACGGCTGGACTTTCTCACCTGGCGCCCACGATGAGCTCGTTCCTGGTCAGGTCCAGGGTGAGCTGGGAGAAGTCTCTCACGCCCAGGGGGGAGAAAGAGGAGATCCAAGGACTCAGAGCTGAGGGACGGGGGGGAGGAGAGGAAAGAGGTCAGCGAACGCCGCGTCATGTCCTGAGCTACAAGCACATCATATATATATAAATAAACACATGTGAGTGTGTGTATTTGGATATGACGCCCACAGGAACACTCACACCGTCGTTGAACATCCAACCTGATCTCAAATGTGTCAGAAGTTTCCCTTTCTGTGTAAGTACGGCTGTGTTTGGTGAAACCGAGCTGGAACATTTATAAAATGAAGTAAACTGAAGATTTCCTGTAAACACCACAGAGAGGACTGACGGGGGCCGTCTGGCTCCAATACCTGCAGACGTAACCAGCTGTATGCAGCACGTTATTATGACAGCGGGGAGAATACGTGAAACCACGGCGATAATAAAAATCTGTATCAATGCCTCCCATGCATAAAATACAGACACTCACTTCAACTATTACAGTTTTTAAGTAGATCTTTTTAGGAGATTATTCGTTATTCGTTGCGCTGCCGGAAGCAACAAAAGCATCCAAGGTGATGGAACCTTCGACATGAATAATGACTGCAAACATTCACACACACTCAGAGGATTTAATCCCAGAGACCCTCAGCACACAGGACGCATGGCGCATGGGAGGCAACAGCAAGGCCTATTTGTGCATTAGAGTTATCTACATTACATACATGTAGAAACATACGTATACATGTATACATACATCACAGTATTTAAACAGACTGACGGTATCCTGGTACATCACGGTATTTAAACAGACTGACGGTATCCTGGTACATCGCAGTATTTAAACAGACTGACGGTATCCTGGTACATCACGGTATTTAAACAGACTGACGGTATCCTGGTACATCACGGTATTTAAACAGACTGACGGTATCCTGGTACATCGCAGTATTTAAACAGACTGACGGTATCCTGGTACATCACGGTATTTAAACAGACTGACGGTATCCTGGTACATCACGGTATTTAAACAGACTGACGGTATCCTGGTACATCGCAGTATTTAAACAGACTGACGGTATCCTGGTACATCACGGTATTTAGAAAGATTCTGACGGTATCCTGGTACATCACGGTATTTAAACAGACTGACGGTATCCTGGTACATCACGGTATTTAGAAAGATTCTGACGGTATCCTGGTACATCACGGTATTTAAACAGACTGACGGTATCCTGGTACATCACGGTATTTAAACAGACTGACGGTATCCTGGTACATCACGGTATTTAGAAAGATTCTGACGGTATCCTGGTACATCACGGTATTTAAACAGACTGACGGTATCCTGGTACATCACGGTATTTAAACAGACTGACGGTATCCTGGTACATCACGGTATTTAGAAAGATTCTGACGGTATCCTGGTACATCACGGTGTTTAGAAAGATTCTGACGGTATCCTGGTACATCACGGTATTTAGAAAGATTCTGACGGTATCCTGGTACATCACGGTATTTAAACAGACTCTGACGGTATCCTGGTACATCACGGTATTTAAACAGACTGACGGTATCCTGGTACATCACGGTATTTAAACAGACTGACGGTATCCTGGTACATCACGGTATTTAAACAGACTGACGGTATCCTGGTACATCACGGTATTTAAACAGACTGACGGTATCCTGGTACATCACGGTATTTAAACAGACTGACGGTATCCTGGTACATCACGGTATTTAAACAGACTGACGGTATCCTGGTACATCACGGTATTTAAACAGACTGACGGTATCCTGGTACATCACGGTATTTAAACAGACTCTGACGGTATCCTGGTACATCACGGTATTTAAACAGACTCTGACGGTATCCTGGTACATCACGGTATTTAAACAGACTGACGGTATCCTGGTACATCACGGTATTTAAAGGGCCGCGGCTACCCGAACGCTTGCTGGCCAACTCGCTCGCAACTGGCCGGCCAGTTAGCTTTTTATCGTGTTAGCGTGTTAGCTTGTTGTGGCTGCTAGTGTTGCCACCAGAAGCTCGACAAATGGTTTTCTGATCTAACGTAACTTACGTCAGATTTTACAAAACCAAAAAGCCTCCAAACAGACTCGACTCCTCTGTTGGGCCCAAGTTGCGTTGCAGCGTCTCTCGTTGTTCCTCCCGTGTTTCTGCTTTCTCTGTTTTCATGTAGCAGCAGAGTTACTTCTTGTTGTGAGCTTTACCCAGCATGCAGTTTGGTGGGGTCATTTTATAAATGTACATTTATTAGTGTCACAAATAGTTTATGTGTCACAAGCTGTTGTGTTGTGGTGTTTTACACTGTTAAAGAGTGTTTGTTGTGTGTTATTCCTTGTTATTATAAAGTTATAGCATGGCTGAGATTCAATGACTGTTATTGAGTCATGGTTACACACATGTGGTTACACACGTGTGGTTATACACACGTGAGACAAGTAGCTCCGTGATGACGTGTAGAAATAAATTCTGCCAAAGAGCCACAGCGGGTGTTATGGCGTTACCGGTATGAACACTACGAGATCTTCTACCAGTACACCAGGTGCAGCCCTACTAAAGGTAAATTTTTATTAACAATACTGCTTACTTAATATAACTCAGATGACTATTTATTGCCAACTTAATTAATAACTTTTAGTTAACTATACTAATGTTTACTGCAGTTACACGAGTTGCCTAAACTCACTTGTTTTCATCATTAACGACTTAAAATTAATGAGCGACTTTACGTAGAAGTTTTGAGGCAATCGGTTTCTTGACTTTTTTCAAGTAAAGTCAACTTATTACTTTTTATAGTGTAGGTGACGCGAGGGAAGCGCTAGTGTGAATTAACGATTAATACTGGGACATGTTTAACTATGACTCTGCAGATGTCTGTGGAAAAATCATTTACTAATTAAAGTATTTCAAACTTATTATGATGGCACAGCCAATCAGAGAGCTCCCTTATGATATGATACATGCTCCTAGTTTGTTGCCAAAGAACGTCGACCTCAGAGGGATTAAACATGTTGTGGCTAAACACGGTAAAACACGGGTCACATCAAACCAACACTAAGCCCCGCCCCCCACTTACTCAATAAATATGACATCCTGAGAAAATCCCATAATTTAGAGAGACAGTTAAAGTGATTAACCCTCCCCATAAAATATGATCATTAAAAGCACATGACATGAAGCCTAAAATAAGGATGTGGAGAGGCAGATATCAGGAGGAATGCCCCCCCAACAGAAAAAACAGGAGCTGTAAGGGATCACTTTAGAATTTAATGTGGAGCATTAATCATCTGAGGTTATACCAACGTCCCCCCACATCATGAATATGTCTCCACGTGCCAGTTAAAGAAAGAGTTGTGGTGCAGAGCCCCTCCGCCCCTCTGTGAAGGACAGTTATTGTCCTGGACCCTCATAACTGCCCGGCAGTGGAGGACTTGATAAACGACCATTGCCCCTCCAAGACAGATTAATGCAGCGGAGACATTCAGTCTCTCCTAAATCAACGGCTTCCTATCACTTTGCATCTTCCTTTCTCTTGAATGTAGAACCAGCATAAGGGGCCGAGGGAACAGACGTGATGGAATGTGAGATTCCTCAAAGCCGGCTGTGCGATACCGATCTGGTCTTAGTTTCATCCCAGAGATGTCTGGTGGGTGTCACCTTACGCCTGGAGGGTGTCACCTTAAGTCTGGAGGGTGTCTCCTTAAGTCTGGAGGGTGTCACCTTAAGTCTGGAGGGTGTCACCTTACGACTGGAGGGTGTCACCTTAAGTCTGGAGGGTGTCTCCTTACGTCTGGAGGGTGTCACTTTAAGTCTGGAGGGTGTCACCTTAAGTCTGGAGGGTGTCACCTTACGACTGGAGGGTGTCACCTTAAGTCTGGAGGGTGTCTCCTTACGTCTGGAGGGTGTCACCTTAAGTCTGGAGGGTGTCACTTTACGTCTGGAGGGTGTCTCCTTAAGTCTGCAGAGTGTCTCCTAAGTCTGGAGGGTGTCCTCCTTACGTCTGGAGGGTGTCTCTTTACGTCTGGAGGGTGTCTCCTTAAGTCTGGAGGGTGTCACCTTACGTCTGGAGGGTGTCACATTACGTCTGCAGGGTGTCACCTTACGACTGGAGGGTGTCTCCTTACGTCTGCAGGGTGTCTCCTTTAAGTCTGGAGGGTGTCTCCTTACGTCTGGAGGGTGTCACCTTACGACTGGAGGGTGTCTCCTTACGTCTGCAGGGTGTCACCTTACGACTGGAGGGTGTCTCCTTACGTCTGCAGGGTGTCTCCTTAAGTCTGGAGGGTGTCTCCTTACGTCTGGAGGGTGTCACCTTACGACTGGAGGGTGTCTCCTTACGTCTGCAGGGTGTCACCTTACGACTGGAGGGTGTCTCCTTACGTCTGCAGGGTGTCTCCTTAAGTCTGGAGGGTGTCTCCTTACGTCTGGAGGGTGTCACATTACGTCTGCAGGGTGTCTCCTTACGTCTGGAGGGTGTCACCTTACGTCTGGAGGGTGTCATTTTGGAACCACTAAAGGTCTGATTGGGCGAGACGGATGAGAATGGGGTTTGGAAAAAAAAACACTTAACATTTAACCGTACCATTGAAGTGTGAAAAAAGGAAAATAAGGGAGCGCTTGATTCGTAGCGCCACATGAAGGGCGTCGGGCGCCACTTTGTTCCATGCCACCAGGTACATTAAAGTTGCTGTTGGCCTCAAGGGCAGAGCCTGTGCTCCAAACAGGAGAACCTTCTAGCAGTTTTCTTCATGTCAGCGTGACGCAAAGAAATAAAGACCACGCTGACTTATTCAACAGTATTTTGCTGAGTTAAGAAGAGAATTGTTGGCAAAATTGCAATAATGTTCCGCCTCAGTACGACAGAGTCTGTGCTCTTTCACATCGAGGCACACGGTGTTCTGGGTCATCCGATAATCCAGATGTGCGTCGATGTTTATAATCTTGTGGTGCCAAAGATGATCGTCTACATCCGAGGTGGACTACCAGCACAGACCCCCCCCCCTTATGCATGTTTATCTTGCTATATCCTGCTCCGAAGATGAAAGTCGGCTTGGCGCATGACGTGACGTATGTGTGTCAACTCTGTCTGTGGTTTGCAAACATTAAACGTCCTGTTTTGGTGATTTTGCACCGGTGTCGAGTGAGAATCTTTGGAACAACAACCAATGCTTTCATTCATTTTTCAGGTTTATTTTGAAAAGACACAATGTTTGTGCCTCTTCAGAAACTGCCTGTTTCTTCATGGCCAGGGTACTTTATTTTGAAAAGAGAAGTTACTAGACCTCCATTGTTGGTGGTGTGAAGTGGAGAGACAAACTAACAC